CTATCTTTTTTGGTATTCCGTACTTGCAAATTATATTTTCCCACAAGAAATCCACCACTTCGCGCTCACCGATCTTCTGATAAGGACCTACTTCTAGCCACATAAAAAAATCGTCAGTCAAAATTAAAAGAAATTTTACCTTTTCGGGAGCTAGTGGCAGTGGTCCGACGATGTCCATCCACCACTTCATGAACGGCCACGGGGATAGAACCGAATATAAGGGTTCTGCCAGTCGATGCACCAGTGGTGCGTAGCATTGGCACTTATCACATTTTCGTACGAAGTCTTTGGTATCTTGTTCCATCCGGGGCCAATAATAACTTGCCCTTACCAACTTTAGTACTAAGGAATCTGCGCCTCGAATGGTTGTGGCATATCCTTTCGTGGACTTCTCGCATGACGTAATCAAGTTTGGATGCCCTAAGCATCGGGCTAGCAGGCCTTGAAAAGATTTTCTATATGATTGACCTCTCTTGAAGCTATATCCCGCTGCTCTAGTGCGCAGCGCTCGAGATGCTTTGGGATCTTAGGGCAACTTCCCGTGCTCGAGATAATCGATGATTTCATTTATCCAATCCTAGACCAAATTAGTCGTATTTACCTCGTAATAACCATCTGTATCCAGGATCGAGTTCATCAGTTGTACTACCATCCCGAATTTTGATCCCTTTATTTGTGTTGATGATCCGAGGTTAGCCAATGCATCTGCTTCTGCGTTACCTTCCCTCGGGATATGAGTAATTGACCACTCCCGGAATTGCACCAACAGAGCCTGCACCTTCACCACGTATTGCTGCATACGCTTCTCTTTGGTTTCGAAGATCCCGTAGACCTGATTTACCACCAGTTGTGAGTCGCATTTGATTTTGATAACCTCAGAATCAAGTCCCCTGGCCAGTTCTAGTCCTGCAATCAAAGCTTCATACTTTGCTTCATTGTCAGTTAAAGGAACCGTTTTGATGGCTTGACTGAGGTTTTTCCCCGAAGGCGTGATTAATACTATACTAAGACCAGGCCCTTTCACGTTGGAAGCTCCGTCTGTAAATAAGGTCCAAACCCCTAGTGTTGATTCTGCCGCCATTATTGCCTCTTTGGTTGCCAAAGGCAGCAATCCCAAACTGAAATCGACCACAAAGTCAGCCAAGACTTGTGACAATATTGCAGTCCTTGGTTTATATTCTATGTCAAACTCATTCATTTCGGCGGTCCATTTGGCCAATCTACCCGAGATCTCGGGTTTGTGAAGGATGTTTCGCAAAGGGAATGTGGTCACTATGGCTATCGGGTAAGATTGGAAGTAGGGCCTCAACTTCCGAGCGGCGACTACGGCAGCTAAGGCCAATTTCTCCAAATGCGGGTAGCGGGTTTCTACTCCCGTTTTAATTTTACTAACATAATAAATGGGAGATTGTGTACCTTCGTCCTCACGGACTAAAACTGCACTTACTGCAACATCCAAGACCGCGAGGTAGACTAATAATGTTTCACCTTCTTTTGGTTTTGAAAGTAATGGAGGGCTTGACAAGTACCTTTTCAAATCCCTCGAGGCCTGCTGGCACTCCGGGGTCCAGTCGAAATTATTTTTCTTTCTAAGCAGTGCGAAGAAACGATGACATTTTTCTGATGGCCGGGAAATGAACCTGCTCAAAGCTGCCAATCTCCCCGTGAGGCTTTGAACTTCCTCCACGTTCGACAGTTGGTCTGGGATATCTTTGATGGCTTTAATCTTGTCGAGATTTACCTCAATGCCACTTTGTGATACCAAAAATCCCAGGAACTTGCCGGAGCTAACTCTGAACGCGCATTTTTTGGGGTTAAGCTTCATGTTATGCTTCCCCATGATATCAAAAGTTTCTTGCAGATGCCTAAGGTGATCACTTGCATTTAAATACTTAACGAGCATATCGTCTATATAAACTTTCATAGTTCTTCTTATTTATTTTTCAAACATCTTGTTCACGAGCCGCTAATAAGTGGCTTTGGCGTTATTTAACTCGAAGGGCATCATATTGTAGAAATATGTGCCGAAATTCATTATAAACGAAGTCTTTTCCTGATCCTCGGGGTTCATCTTAATTTGGTTGTACCCGAAATAAGCATCGTGGAAACTCATTAACTCGTGCCCGGCCGTGGCATCAATCATTCGATCGATGTCTGGCAGTGGGAACGAATCTTTCGGGCACGCCTTATTAAGATCTTTATAATCTACACCATGCGAAATCTTCACCTCTCGGATCGACCCGATGTTAAGTAAGCGAGTTACCTCCTCTTTAACGAATTTATTCCTAACTTCCGTGATAGGGCATTTCTTTTATCTTACCGTAGGTATGTTGGGGTCCATACTTAACTTATGTACGGCTACCTCTATCAGGATACCTGTCATATCCGCATGCGACCATGCAAAACAATCGACATTAGATTTAAGAAATTCAATAAAGCCATATCTGAGTTCGTGGTGTAGTCCTGTCCTCAAGTGGAATTTCCTTTCTAGGAATTCTTCGGATAACGCAACTTGCTCAAACTACTCTGATAGAATATATGAGTCCACCAAACTATATAGAGACCAGGTCCTATATAGGTTTCCACAGATAAGGCTAATGCAACAGTAAGTAAATGGAACAGGGAACTTTTACGTGGAAAAATCCCTGCTCAAGGGAATAAAAAAACCACGACCTACACCGGTAGGATTTCAACTTTACTATGAGCAATCTTTAGATTACAACCTAGGAATTAAACTCTTAATCCCTCACTAAATTGTAATACACTTATTACAAGCCACTTTGCAATACACCTATTTCAAAGACTTCAACTCATGACTAACTCTAGTCACGACACAAACACTAAAGGTTTATGGTTTACAAAGGGTTACTAATTAAAGCTTCTAGATAAGCATAGCAGGAATTACAATGAAGAACAATTACAAAGTTACAACTCAACTAAGGACATACAAGAGACTCATTATAGGAACTGGTCTGTAGTAGTGTTGTACTTTGTTCTTGATGCACTTGAGAATTGAATGCTTGATTGTCAGATGCTTAGAATGCTTGAATGAATTTTCAAGTATTAAAGTGATGTTTTGTTGCAATGTTATTGCTAATACAACTTGGATGACATCACTTGAATGATGTAGTCAGTTGGTTGGTATAAGGTCCTTCCCAATGAGAAGTGACTGCTACACTGTTTGCGTGTTCAGTGCAGGCAGTCACTTTCCAGCTGTAGAGAGTTGACTTCGTATTGTTGTCAGGAGAACCTAAGGGGATCAAGTTCCTGTGTTGATTCTTTATCTCCTAAAGTCATAGCATCTCACATAAGCTTGAATCCGTCGATTGAGTTGATAACTGCTCCCTCCAATATCAGGTTCCTTATCTGGTTCTTTGACAGTAAGTTTGTTAGATCATTAAAACATAAAGCTAAGGTACTATAAACCCATCAATTTCCCCTTTTTTGATGATGACAAACTTAAAAATTGACAATCATATTTAGAGCAACAAAAACCATATAAAGTAACAGGAACTTCACAAGTTCCCCCTAACTTTGTGCTTCCCCCTGAATCAGTCCCTGCTTCTTCTTAACTCTTTCAATTTTATCTCTTCCCCCTTTTGGCATCATTAAAAACACACAAACAAGCAAATAGCATAAAGATGTCTAGCCCAGTTAACTCATGCCACGTGTATGTACACAACATGATAGAAAAGAGAAGCAGAAACATATAAGCATTTACAACAAAAGAAGGAGAGTTTTCATTAAACAACAAAAAACATAAGCATTTGCATGTACATCAAAAGCAGATTTGGACAGTTTACATGGGAGCGGTACTAGTGATTTCCATCCACAAACCAAAAAAACAAACACAACACCACAACATCATCAAAACACTGTCAAGAGAGATAAATTGGACACTGGTCACTGAGAGATATGCCTAGGGGACACTAGAGGAAAAGGGCTTGGAAGAGGCAGCAAGTGTGTTGAGAACTAGATCTATCCGAGCATTGGCGGACATTTGCTCAACGAGCAGTTTCTCCTTCAGGTTCTCACCTTGTTGCCTGAGATCAACATTCTCCTTAGTCAGACGATCAACCTCTGCATTTGAAGAACTAGAGGACCCTGTTCCCTCTTGGGCCTGACTGAGCTGAGTCTCTAATATGGCATTCCTTGCTTTCAACTTTCTGATCTCTTCAGTAGCACTATTTTGAGCATTTATAAGCTGGGAGATCGTTGAAGTGCTTCCTATCCCTCGGATTTTGTCAATACACTCACATTCCTCTAGAGTAGTTTTAGAGATAGTCTGCTTCTTGGTCCCCATTTTAGGCTGTCCCAAAGGTACTTTAAAGAATTTGAAGACTCGCGTGAGGAGAAATCCATAGGGGAGGCCATGATTTCCATCTTTGAATGCTGCCACTTTTTGCATATGCTCAATCATTATGGCTGGCAGATTAACAATTTCGAACTCATCCAGTGCTTCCGTCAGATACAGATCAGCCTTAGATGTGACAGATCTCCTCTCAGCGCGAGGAAGCAGGACTTTGTTCACCAACTCAAAAAGCAGCTGATAAACAGGAAGCAAAGCTTTCTTATGCACTTCGTCCCCCCTCCCCCCCTCCCCCCCGCTGCACAACGCTCTCCTTAACTATAGCATGCCTAAAGTTTGAGCTACAGACACTTCTAACAGATGACAAACCTTCAGCAGGAACTTTAAGTATGTTTCCTAACACAACAGATTCCATAACAATGTCTACGCCATTTACCAGTGCGGAGATGTGATCAGATTCAACGATAAAGAGGTCTGCATAGAAACTTTGAACCTTTTCCTCATATACCTTGGGCACATCCACCTTGAATAGGTGTCCCCACTGTTGAAACTCAACCATCTCAAGCACTTGGCGCATTCCAACCATCTCAGATATCTCAGGGTCAAAAGTACGACCCCACAGCACTTTTTGACACCTCAACCTTTCTTTACTAGATATATTTCCACTTCTTGCCTTCTTCACAGAACCGGGTTATTTCACATTCTCTAATTTACTTTTCGTAGACTTTCCACTGGACATAACTTTCCCAATAGATTTCAGTTGCATATCCTCATCAGACACAGACTCTTCTACCACAACTTCCTTCAACTTGCCACTATCCTTTACTGACTTTTCACTGGGAATTCCAACAACTTCTTTTGAAGTACTCTCAGTAGAGTGCTTCTTTTTCTGAGACCTCTTGATCAAGGAACTTGGTTCCTCTGGGGCTTCCTCATCAACTTCCACAACTGGGATATTCTTGTCACAAACAATTTCACCATCCTTCACCAGCCTTTTCTTCTTCTTCATGTTACTTCTCTTACTCTTCTTTAGCGCAGACTCAAGAGCCTCCTTCTTCTGCAACCTTTTGGTAGGTCGCTTAGGAGGGGGCTCAAGAGTTGCTACTAGCCTCCTTGCGGCAATTAACGCACTCAGAGCAACATCATCCTCATTTTCTTCATCACTGGACCTCATAACAGGAGCCACTACTTCCAAGGGCTCAGCATCAAAGTGAGGAGAAGAATAAGGGTAGAAACTGACCTGGGAAGATGATTTCTGACCTCTTTCCTCAGGAGAGGGGTCAGGTCCATCAAGAGGGGTCCCAGTAGTGTCTTCTGGCGAAGACCATTCAAAGAGCACCATTGCGCCTTCTCCCACCAAGGACTGAGTCTCTTCCCCCTGAGACTCAGACATGGTAGAATTTTCCTTCCCAATAATTCCCTCAGCAGCAATAGCCAACATATTTTCTATGGCATCCCTCTCTTGAGGTTCCATAGGAGCAACAACAGAAGAAATAGGAGTACCTGTAGACTGATCAGAGTTTTCCTTAGAACCCTTATCACTTTCAGGACTAAGCGATGAAGCTTTTTCTGCCGATGGAGACTTACTATTTTCCTCTGGAACTGGAATGTCATCTTTACTCCATTCTTGGTATGTCTCGGGAAACAAGGGAGAGATGCTTTCGTTCTTAGGGTTGTCTGAGTTCTCAACACTTACAGGAGGATTAGAGTCAGAGGGAGTAGAGAAAGGGATAGAGGATGAAGAGAAACTGATTTAGGATTTTTTATTTGAATAGTGGTTGAAGAAGGGATGACTGGTGGTGTTTCTACAGGAGAAGACTCGAGGTTTTTCTCTTCAGTGGTAGGAGGGATTGTTTGATCCTCAGCCATGGTAGAGGAATTTGGCTTGAAGGTTCTGGAGAGACTGAGGAAGACAGAGATGGTCGTTCAAGTTTTTAGGAGTGAGAGGGTTATAATGAGGAGAACGACAATTATGAAGGAAAGAGAAACGGGTTCTGAAAAGCCGGTAGATGTGTGGGAAGATACAACGTTTCAGAGGGAAGTGAAAGGATTTGAACGAAAAGACGCGACATAGACAGGTCTAGAAATGTTGATGATGTGGCATTATTTTTTTTTTAATTATGTATGAGAAAAGCAAAAGACTACTAACTTGTGGCACAAGAATCAGGTTCCTGACCAGTCTTAAAAAAATGCTCAACCTTCTTTTACCGCTCATGCATTGTCTCAGCAGCTTCTATAATCATCATGCGTGTCTACCTGTAACGGTATGGAAGTGAGTTTAGACTTGGCTGGAAAACACTTTAGCTAATTTTACCTGTATGTAATTTTCATATCCATATGGTAGGAATCAGGTTCTCAACTAGGCTTTATTAGCCCCAGTGCCAGCTTGTTTCTCTCAAAGTGTTCTCTGCTCAGGGCTTTGGTGAAGATATCTGCAATTTGGTCTTCTGTGCTGCAAAACTTCATACAGATAAGTCCTTTTTCCATATCGTATCTGGGAAAATGATGTCTCACATCAATGTGCTTGGTTCTTTTGTGTTGGACTAGATTTTTGGCCATGTTGAGTGCACTTGTGTTATCACACAGAAGAGATACACAGTCAGTGTACACTCCAAAGTCTTCCAACTGCTGTTTGATCAATAGAAGCCGAGCACAGCATGAGGCTGCAGCAACATATTCTGCTTCAGCTGTTGAAAGAGCTACTGAATTTTGCTTTCTTGTGCCCCGTGAGATAAGACATGATCCCAAGAAGTGAGCCATTCCAGGTATGCTTTTTTTATCAACAAGATAACCTGCATAATCAACATACCCAATAAGATTAAAATTATCACCTGAAGGGTAGTACAGAACTAGGTCCTGTGTTCCCTTAAGATATTTTATGATTCTTTTGGCAGCCTTCAGATGAGATTCCTTGGGGTTTGACTGAAACCTTGCACATAGTCCCACACTGAAAACAATATCTGGCCTCCTTGCAGTAAGATAGAGGAGAGATCCAATGATGTCTCTATACATTGTTTGATTCACAGATTAGCCAGATTCGTCTATATCTAGTCGAGAAGCAGTGGCAATGGGAGTGTCAATCACTTTTGATGCTTCCATGTCAAACCTCTTTAGAAGCTCCTTGATATACTTCCGCTGACTAATGAATGTTCCCTTTGTGGACTGCTTCACTTGAAGACCCAAGAAGAAATTTAACTCACCCATCATGCTCATCTCAAACCCACTTCCCATGAGTTTTGCAAATTCCTTACATAGTGAATCAGTTGTTGCCCCAAAAATGATATCATCAACATATACCTGAACAATGAGCAGGTTCCTCCCTCGTTTCTTTAGAAACAAAGTGTTATCAATTTTTCCTCTTGGAAAACCATTTTCTAAGAGAATCTTTGACAACCTCTCATACCAAGCTCGAGGATCCTGCTTCAACCCATATAGTGCCTTGTCCAATTTGAACACATATTAAGGGTGTTCATGACATTCAAAACCTGGAGGCTACTTTACATAGACTTCTTCCTTGAGGAAACCATTCAGAAATGCACTTTTGACATCTATTTGGAGCAGAGTGAATTCCATATGTGATGCAAAGGCTATGAGGATTCTAATAGCTTCCACACGAGCAACCGGAGCAAAAGTCTCATCATAATCAATTCATTCCTCCTGATTGTAGCCTTGGACCACTAGCCTTGCCTTGTTCCTTGTTGTGTTTCCATGTTCATCAAGCTTATTCCTGAATATCCACCTGGTCCCTATGATGGTCCGATCTGAGGGTCTAGGTACCAGGTGCCATACTTTGTTCCTTTCAAATTGATGCAGCTCATCTTGCATGACTGTGATCCAGTCTGCATCTTTTAAGGCTTCCTTAATGTTTTTGGGCTCTATTTGGGAGAGAAATGCTGAGAAGGCAAGTGAATTTCTGGCTTTTGATCTGGTTTGGACTCCTGAATCCAGAGGAGTAATTATGTTGTCGAGAGGATGGGAGCTTTTGTGTTTCCAGTTGGGAACTTGAATTTCATTTGTAGAGGAATTAGGTAAGTCTGACTGGTTCCCATGTATCCTTCTTTCTGCTACTTGCGGAGTACTTTGAACTGCATCAACCACTCTTTCTTCAACTTCAGTGGTTGTAATTGTAGTACCTGGTTCCTCTCCAGCTGATAAGGAAGAGATTGCATTGTCTTCACCTGTCTCATTCACTTGACTTATCATATCTGCCTTTCCATTTTCCATATCAATGACCTCTCCAGGAACCAACAGAGGCTCTCCATCTTGATGATCCTTTTTGCTCTTCTCACAGGAGAGATGGGACTCATCAAAGATTATGTGTATACTCTCCTCAACACACTGAGTCCACTTGTTGTATACCTTGTAGGCTTTACTTTGAGAAGAGTACCCCAGAAAAATTCCTTCATCACTCTTGGCATCAAATTTTCCGAGCTGATCCTTTCCATTGTTGAGAACATAACATTTGCACCAAAAATGTTCTTAAGTGAGTCGGCTTGGGCTTCCTTCTATTCAACAACTCATAGGGAGTTTTGTTCAAGAGAGACCTAATCATGCACCTGTTCACCAAGTAGCATGCAGTGTTGATAGCTTCAGCCCAGAAGTTCTTAGCAATCCCACTATCGATCAGCATTGTTCTTGCCATTTCTTTAAGGGTTATGTTCTTCCTTTCCACAACTCCATTTTGCTTGGAGTTCTTGGGGCTGAGAAGTTGTGGGTGATGCCATTTTCATTGCAGAATTCATCAAACTTAGCATTGTCAAATTTTGTTCCATGATCTGATCTAATGCATGCTACTTTTGATTCCATCTTCACTTGAATTTTCTTCACAAAGGCTACAAAAACTTCAAAGGTCTCATCTTTTGTTCTAAGGAACAGAGTCCAAGTGAATCTGGAATAGTCATCCACTATCACAAAAATGTATCTTTTT